AACACAAAACTTTATCAGATTCTCTAATATAATTAAATGGTTCTACAAAAAGTATTTCGTCAACAGTAAGTAATCCGTGTTCACAAATGGTGCCTCAGTAGCAAATCTAGTTTTTTACATATCTTCACAACTAACTTTGATCTAAATTCTAACTGAAAGAAACACAACTGTTTTACAGGCAACATCTCTATTTGTTTAAAATCTGTGGAAAAAACCTCCACATGTGCCTGAAGGTATCGCTCCACAGCCGGTACAGATAGGAGGAATGAGTTTCTGAACATGTGGGTGTATTAAAGTGAACTGAATTGAGATCTAAACCTTTACTTTTCACTTTATCGTGCTCTTTTACTGTCTGCGTTGATGAATGAGATGAAACAGAAACAGAGGTTAAGAAAACAGAAGGTGGAAGTCCAATTTTATAGACACAGTTGTGCCCAGAGTCGTCAAAATAGAGCTGCGTGCCAGGAGCCAGTTTTATGTACAGCACGTGTCTGAGGAAGCAGCAGCATTGGTCTGGATTTTGGGGGAATTATATATATATATATATATAATATATAGGACGAGAGAGAGGAGAAGAGAGAGAGAGAAATCTCTGCCAAACTCACTTGTTGGTCTTTATTTTGAGGTCTCTGCCTTTCTGCAGCTCGTGCCCATCTTTGTACCAGCGGAAGGAAGGGCTGGGATTCCCCGATGCCTCGCACTTCAAGTACAGCTTGTCCCCTTCCATCAGAGACTGGCCTCGCATCAGCCGAAGCTTAGGAGCAGAGGCTGGACAGGGATTGAGGAGAGGAGCAGAGGGAGGGAGGGGAGGGGAGGGAGGGAGAGAACGACAGGAAGGGAGCGGAGAAAGAAAATCAAAGCTTGCATTTACTGAAATTAACTACAAGACATTCAATTAATCTATTCATTTAATACGTGTGTGGTGTGTGTGTCTGTGTGTGAGTCGTTTGCTGTATATGTGTCTGTATTTGGTGGTGTGTTTATGTGGGTGGCTGATGAAAAATCTGTTGAGTGAGGGTTCATATGTCGGGGTCAAAACATGAGGCAACAGGTCAGGAAGTTGACATGAGAGATGGCTAAAGAATGTGGGAGAAAATCAATGACACACACACAAACAAAACACACACACACACACACACACCACAACTGAAAAAGCACTTGGGTCATGGCCTGAATTCCTGAAAAGCAAAGGCAAACTGAAAGCTATATAGAAAAAAATGTTTTCCTCAGAAATCTCTCTGCAGTAGATTTTCACTATGGGAGCAAATGTGGGTGTGTTACGTGTGTGTGTGTGTTTGTTTGTGTGCATGTGCTTCATCGGCGTCTCAGGAGAGTTTCTCTCTCTCTCTCTTCTCTCCTTAAAAAACTACAACAGACTTGCATCACTAACACCAGCGCAGGCAACACAGACACAGGAAGGTAAAGCCAAAGAGACAACTCAGCACCATCTGTACCATTTTATACACACACACACCACACACCACACACCGCCAATGAAGCACTGGGGTCTAACACACACGCGTTGGGCCTTGCCATCCCCCACACAACATCACACACACACACACACACACACACACACACAGTGTTTTAGTGATAGGACACGCTTGATCAACTGTGAGGCAACTGTTGTATAGGCCCACAGCTCCTCACAGCACTGCTGCATTCTTCCATTTACTCCTTATATACAGCAGATACTGTAGATGTTGAGCTTCAATAAGACGCTATAGGTCTATATGTCTCGTAAATCTTTATACAACGTACTGAACATCGTATGCTGCATATCCCTTGAAAACCGCTTCTAATCTTCTTAATTTAACTCAACGTCTTTCTCTCGCACAAGACGTAGTTTAGGATTTCACAGCAGCAGCATATTTTTCAAATATTAGGTTATATTTAGCTTTTATTGGATAGTTTTGAGAGCAGTAAGTGACAAGAAACATTTGGTTGAGAAACATGGGGATGGCAAAGGTTGTAGTTACACATCTTAGTCCACTAGACTTGTGAATTACAGCCCACAGTTATTTTCAGTTATTCAAATTCAAAGTCTGATGTTGTGGTCTTCTGACTGTTTTCTTACTGTGAAGAAATCCTATGAAAAGACTAAAACCAACAATTACTATTATTGTTATTATTATT